GTGTGTCACACATCATTACTAGGAGAATTAAGTGTTGTCCACGCAACTCCTTTGGGAGGGGACAACCCGAAGTTTGTGCCCCATTTCTACTGGATTCTGCCCTATTCACCTTTTCCTTTTGCTGATTCTAATCTGAAGCCTTTCACTGTAACAATCCATAACCAAGAGTATGACAGCTTTTTCTGAGTCCCGTGAATCCTTCTAGTGAATTATCAAGCCTGAGGTTGGTCTTGGTGACCCCTGACACAACAGGCAGTCAGAACTGCTGAAATGAATTTACATCTATTAAGGATGTAAATGAGGCCCCTTTAAAAGGGTAGATGAAAATCATTTGTATTTCCACTGGACAAAACAGGTTTTTTTCAATTTACAGAGTTATAAAATAGGTCAAAAACAATGAAAGGCACAGACCTTTATAGAATCAAACAGCTCTGTAGGAGCTACTAGCCAAGGCACAGCATTCTGTTAAGAGAACATTTAGTAATATTTTTGTTCATTTCAAAGTCTTTTATGCTTTTTTCTAACATATTTATCAAACCAGTAGTCCTTAAGGAAGTCCCTGGTCCAGGCAAGGAAGAATCTTTAGAGACTTAAATTAAGTGGAGAGTTGTTATTTTTTAAATGTGATTCTCATTTTAATGTATTTGCTCAAATCAATGCCATTTGATGCTCCAGCTAACCAATCATAAATTTCCTAATTAAAATAAAAATCCATTCACTGGTTTTTTTCTTGAGAAGATTGCACAATTCCAGGTTATTTGAATAAGAAATATGGTTGCAAAAAAGGAGCATAAATATATATATTTAAAACAGAAGAGACTTAAAGACAAAAATAGATATAAACCTTTATGTTTATTATCAAACAATTATTGATGTTTAGGAAATTATTTGAAAAGTATAACCTAGAGAAAGTCTTGAGTAGAACAAAATCATCCTTGAAGAGATGCCTGAAGGCATACTAACAAGACTGTCTGAGTGTAAGAGACAAAAGAGGAAGATAGAATCAAAATGTGAAAAGCAATTGCAGGAATGAGAGCAAGCATGCAAGTCTCAGGATCATGGAATATGGAATACAGGGCAACACTTGAAGCCTGCTGTTCAACGCTGCCCAAGCCAATCCACTTCAAAGACTAACACAATTATAGTACTTCTCTGTCTAAGATACCCCAAGGGTTGACTGTTACCTCCTGGAAAAATACAGGTTTCTTCACTTGATAAATAAAGTTCTTTCCAAATCTCATTTTTCCACCAATGCTTCCTAGCTTGGAATGAGCTGTGGAGCTTTCAAAAATTTACTGTCCAAGCCTTCCCCCTGATCTGATTTGATCTGCTCAGGTGGATCAGATCAGAATCCCTGGGGGGAGATACAGCCCAGGGAGAAATGTCTCTCTGCAGCTATCTAGGTAATTCCAACGTGCAGCATAAGTTAAGAACCTTGGAATGAATGGTTTTGAAATCCCCATGTTGGAGCTCCAAAAAAATGTGGCTATGCTGATTCTTATCTCTTTAAAAGAAATGATAGGATATAGCTTAATTTAGGTTAATTTTTTTCTGTTTATAATATTTATTATTTCCAAATTATTTTAAAGCTTTGTTCATAGGATTAAGAGTTACAAAACATAGATTAACCTCTCATTCAGGAACAAATTCCTTTCCGATCAAGTCACATTCTTTCCGTCTCCATACCCACATGGATTCAGTAGGGTGGAAATGACAACAGTGCTCTGAGCCACTCTGGTTTGCTTTGGTTCTTGTTGGCAAGCACTGCACAGAGTTATCAGGTGTCTGTTAAATGTAGGTTT